CTTTTTCAACTGGAGCAACCGTCGAAGGACTTGGCTGATCTTCCTTCTTTTAACCTCTTTTCTTCTTTGAAGTACCTTCAATTGTCTTCTCTAACAACTTCCCAGTTTCAACATCATGATTGATTCACCAACACGGGATGCAGAGGATCAACTTTTCGAAGCATTGCATAAGGAATTCTAGCAACACTTGGAAAAATTTCAGCATCACCTTCAACAGTTTTAGGAAACTGATATAAAGCAAAACTAGCAGTTTCTTAGTTTTCAGGGACTGGAATACCCTCTTTGTGTATATACGAACTGAATAAACTAAAGTTTAGTAATCCAACCCATAAAATTTTATCTTATTGTGTATCGTTTTGGCGGCATGGCCGAGTGGTAAGGCAGGGGACTGCAAATCCTTTTTCCCCAGTTCAAATCCGGGTGCCGCCTCATCAACAAACGAATCAAAATTTATTATCTGTTGATATAAATCACCCAAATTTTACCCAACAGATAAGGCGATTGTTGATACTTGGTTGATTCTAAACATCTGTTCTGGGGATTTTGTAAAAGATTGGAATCTTTCAATCTAAAATTCAAATAAAGATTATATTATAATGGTCGAAGCAAGACTTCCCGATTCCCTTATACTGCTAATGTCTACTGATTGGGTCTTGAATTTCATTGGCATAGCCGCCGGCGGCTAACTAGTTGTGGGAAGTCCTTTATGTAATCTACATATATAGACTCGCGAGAATCTCTGAGTGTTCAGGAATTCAATCACTATTAGATTGAGATTGGATGGATAATTTACTTTTTTATAGAAAAAGTGAAATTTTTTTTTTTTTTTTTTTTGAAACCCCTCGTCAAGAGTATAATATACTATCTCCCAACTGCTTCAGAGAGACAATCGGGAAAGGAAAGGGTACGGATTAGATCAAATAGGAAATAAAAGTATGTAATAGATAGCAGTTGATCTATTTGTACTTTGAAGGGCAACAAAGAATGGGCCCTGTTTTTTTATTACTATATGTTCCATTAGTAACATTCCTTTGTAGCGTCATTGTGTATTTTAGTTGTGTTTAGTCTTTCCCGGTTAGAAATCATATAGGAATTTTTTAGAAATGGATTTATTTGATTGGTTCATCAATAGTGTTCGGCCAGAATCCCTTTTTGACTCTGGAACATGGATTCTACTATTATTAGTGAGCAATACAATAATGGAATATTTCTAGCATAAAGATAAGGGACATAATTAAAATGGATATAGTAAGTCTCACTTGGGCTGCTTTAATGGTAGTCTTTACATTTTCCCTTTCACTCGTAGTATGGGGAAGAAGTGGACTTTAGAAGGACTACTAATTTAGTTTAGGAATGAAATGGTATCAATTGTTTTATAGATCGTTCTGCAACACATTTTTTATTTTTTATTTGAATTGAAATAATTTTCAAATCAAAATTTATTCATTTCGAAATTCCATTGGATTCTAGTGGAGAAATGTATTATATAACAGTAAAACAATTATTCAGTAAAACAATTATTTCAGAAAGAAAGAGAATTGGGTCCTACGTTAATTCCATATATGGATTAATCAGTACATATATTGAAGAGAGAAGCTAATATAGTATACTAACTTTATTAGAAAGTAAAGTACAACTTTATACACTACTATAACACTAATAGAGAGTATGGTAAGAAATTTCTTACCATACTCTCGGATCTCATAGAATACCGCTCATTATAGCCCACTGATTTCATTTAAAACGCAAAAAAATAATTCTTTTGATTTGATTTCTTCAACTATTGATAAGAACTCAGAATTCAAGTTTCATTTGAAGTAATTTACTATTTTGACTGACTATTTTTACGTAAATGATAAGTAGAAAAGCAGTATGAACTAAAATGAACAGTGCAGTAGCAATAAATGCAAGAATATTTACTTCCATAATCTCAATCTCATCGTTTTTTTTATTTCACAATAACTCGGGATTTAATCCCATAGAGATGATAAATCTTTCACCTGTCAATTCGATGAATGCATTACCTATCGATGATCTTGAATCGGATCAGTATCATGAATAACAATATCTGAGCTATTAAATTAATTCTTCGTCGAGAATTGAATAGTATAACATACAAAGATCTTTTATCCATACCGAATCCAAGATTGGATTCCCGGACCAATCCAAAATTCCTTTATTTATCCTTCTTTTCTGTTCTTTCTTTTCTATAACCTAGCTTAGGTCTTCAGTATAGAACCATCAAATGAAGTATCCTCGTCCGTTTCCATTTCCATTAACTACAAAACGCCAACAAAAAATACAAGCAAAGTGGAAAAAGAGAGGAATTAGGTTGTAAATTTGAATGATCCAATTTTATTTGGAAGACAAAGAAGTATGAGAAAGAGGAGTCGCGGGAGAAAAGATGGAATATTCTATCAACTTCACTATTTTAGTTATTTTCACTTTATTTTAGTTTAGTGTTTGTTCTTTCTTCGACAGAATCCTGAAAAAAAGAGGGGAAACCCCTTCGGAATTAAATTATGATATCTGTCCCTTCTTTCATTTCACAAAAAATGGAGAGGTGAATTGATGTACTTATTGGATCCATCGGGACTGACGGGGCTCGAACCCGCGACGTCCGCCTTGACAGGGCGGTGCTCTTGCCTATTGAACTACAATCCCAGGGAAATAAGAAGAGATCTAACAGAAAATTTGGCTTCTTTTTTATTCTCTCTTATCAGGTATTTCTTAAGAACAAGAGGGTTCTACCATTTGATAGTATATTGGCGAATTTTTGGGCCGAGCTGGATTTGAACCAGCGTAGACATATTGTCAACGAATTTACAGTCCGTCCCTATTAACCACTCGGACATCGACCCAACGCCTAATTAGACGTTCCAGAATCAACTTCCTTTCGTCTACCAGGCGGACTTGACAAATACATTTCACTTTTTATAAAATCCTACTCCTATGGTCTTGGTATACCCCTAGAGGGACTTGAACCCTCGTTTTCTTCGTGAAAGAGAGAGGTCGTAACCACTGGACCATAGGGGCACCAATGGACCATAGGGGCCTATGGCCACCTTTAGGAAATCAAAAAGCACTACACAATACAAATACAATAGGGAATAAGGCCTAAGGCCACCTTAACTTAATATAAATCCGCCGAGGGACACCTTTAGAAGATGAATAGGATATGAATCAAACCGAAAAACTCGTTAACTTTTCTGGGGGTTAATGGTAATCAAACTTTACCATTAAACTATACAATATTTCAACTTTATTTCATTGGTTTTTCTCGTCTTTATTGCTCTCATTCAGAAAGAGTTTTGCATTGGATCCAAGATACGGTACTTCTGAATCAACAGAGCAGGAGATGCAAAAAAAAATCATTTACCAAAGTCAGATTCGGGAATTTTATTGAGCCCTAAATCATATCAAAGTCATATCAAATTATATATATATATATATACATATATATATATATATATATATATATATATATATATATATATATATATATATATATATATATATATATATATATAATACTGTCAACTGTCAATTGACGACAGGAGGGCAATAAAAAATAAAAGAAGAGAAAAGACATTAGGCATATCCGCCGGGTTCATCAATACAACATTCCTTTAGTTTTATGGTATTAAATATTCATGTAGATTAGAATATCAATACCGTTTTACATTATAATATAAGAAACTGACTCAGTTTTTATATTATAATTATAAAAAAATCCCAAAGCAGGAGAATTCTGTTTCTAGGACTGTTTTCTCAATTCCGTTCCATTTGCATCTCTTAAAAATGACAATTTAAATTAAATTGAAATTAAGTATAAATTTGAATTCCACCTATCTCATAGATTCCAGTCAAAGATTCATGGAATCAAAATTCCATCATTGCTATAGGATTTGATGGATAATGAGCCAGCCAAAATGGTATTTCTTTTTTTTTTGTTTTTGGAGAATTCGAGATGGATGAATATAAATAACTGACAATTTCAAAATAATCCGGGATAGACGCAATGTCCACAATACCTGGATTTAATCAGATACAATTTGAAGGATTTTGTAGGTTCATTGATCAGGGTTTGACAGAAGAACTTTCTAAGTTTCCAAAAATTGAAGATACAAATCAAGAAATTGACTTTGAATTATTTTTGGAAAGATATCAATTGGTAGAACCCTCGATAAAGGAAAGAGATGTTGTGTATGAATCACTCACATATTCTTCTGAATTATATGTATCTGCGAGACTAATTTGGAAAAACGATACGTGTAGGTATATCCAAGAACAAGCAATTTTGATAGGAAAGATCCCTCTAATGACTTCTCTGGGAGCTTTTATAGTAAATGGAATATATAGAATTGTGATTAATCAAATATTGCAAAGTCCCGGTATTTATTACCAGTCAGAATTGAACGATAATGGAATTTCCGTCTATACCGGCACCATAATATCAGACTGGGGAGGAAGATTAGAATTAGAGATTGATAGAAAAACAAGGATATGGGTTCGCGTGAGTAGGCAACAAAAACTATCTATTCTAGTTCTATTATCAGCTATGGGGTTGAATATAAGAGAAATTCTAGAAAATGTTTGCTATCCTGAACTATTTTTGTCTTTTCTGAATGATAAAAAACAAATAGGGTCAAAAGAAAATGCTATTTTGGAGTTTTATCAACAATTTGCTTGTGTAGAGGGAGATCCGGTATTTTCTGAATCCTTATATAAGGATTTACAAAAAAAATTCTTTCAACAAAGATGTGAATTGGGAGGGATTGGTCGATGAAATATAAATCGGAGACTGAACCTTGATATACCCCAGAACAATACATTTTTGTTACAGCGAGATATATTGGCAGCCACGGATCATTTGATTCGAATCAAATTTGGAATGGGTACACTTGACGATATGAATCATTTGCAAAAATAAACGTATTCGCTCTGTAGCAGATCTTTTACAAGAGCAATTTGGATTGGCCTTGGTTCGTTTAGAAAATATGGTTCGAGGAAACATATATGCAACACTTAAGCATAACTGGACACCAACTCCTCAGAACATGGTAAATTCAACCCCATTAACAAATACTTATAAAGTTTTTTTCCGTTTACGCCCATTATCTCAAGTTTTGGATCGAACTAATCCATTGACACAAATAGTTCATGGGAGAAAATTGAGTTATTTGGGCCCGGGGGGATTGACTGCGCGAACTGCTACTTTTCCAATACGAGATATTCATCCTAGTCATTATGGGCGTATTTGCCCAATTGACACATCTGAAGGAATAAATGTTGGACTTATTGGATCCTTAGCAATTCATGTCAGGATTGGTCGTTGGGGGTCTCTAGAAAGTCTGTTTTATAAAAATTCTGAGAGATCAAAAGGGGCGCGGATGCTTTATTTATCATCGGGCAGAGATGAATACTATATGGTAGCGGCAGGAAATTCTTTAGCCTTGAATCAGGGTATTCAGGAAGAACAGGTTGTTCCAGCTCGATATCGTCAAGAATTCCTGACTATTTCATGGGAACAGGTTCATCTTCGAAGTATTTTTTCCTTCCAGTATTTTTCTAATGGAGCTTCCCTTATTCCTTTAATCGAGCATAATGATGCGAATCGGGCTTTAATGAGTTCTAACATGCAACGCCAAGCAGTCCATATTTCTCAGTCCGAGAAGTGCATTGTTGGAACTGCATTGGAAGGCCAAGCGGCTCTAGATTCAGGGGCTCTTGCTATAGCCGAACACGAGGGAGAGATTATTTATACCGATACTGACAAGATACTTTTATCAGGTAATGGGGATACTCTAAGGATTCCATTAGTTATGTATCAACGTTCCAACAAAAATAATTGTATGCATCAAAAACCCCAGGTTCAGCAGGGTAAATGCATTAAAAAGGGACAAATTTTAGCGTATGGTGCTGCTACAGTTGGTGGCGAACTCGCTTTGGGGAAAAACGTATTAGTAGCTTATATGCCATGGGAAGGTTACAATTTTGAAGATGCAGTACTCATTAGTGAGCACTTAGTATATGAAGATATTTATACTTCTATTGACATACGTAAATATGAAATTCAGATTAACCAAGGCTCCGAAAGGGTCACTAATGAAATACCGCATTTAAAAGTCCATTTACTCCGAAATTTAGACAAAAATGGAATTGTAATGTTGGGATCTTGGGTGGAAACAGGTGATATTTTAGTAGGTAAATTAACGCCCCAAATGGTGAAAGAATCCTCGTATGCCCCCGAAGATAGATTATTACGAACCATACTTGGCATGCGGGTATATACTTCAAAAGAAACTTGTCTAAAATTACCTATAGGAGGTAGGGGTTGGGTGATTGATGTGAGATGGGTACAGAGTTCTAAGACAGATGAGACAGAGAAAACAGAAAGTATTCGTGTATATATTTTATAGAAACGTGAAATAAAAGTAGGCGATAAAGTAGCTGGAAGACATGGAAATAAGGGTATCATTTCAAAAATTTTGCCTAGACAAGATATGCCTTATTTGCAAGATGGAAGACCTGTTGATATGGTCTTCAACCCATTAGGAGTACTTTCCCGAATGAATGTAGAACAAATATTTGAATCTTCACTCGGGTTAGCTGGGGGTTTGCCAGACAGACATTATCGAATAGCGCCTTTTGATGAGAGATACGAACAAGAAGCTTCGAGAAAACTGGTGTTTTCTGAATTATATGAAGCCAGTAAGAAAACAGTGAATCCATGGATATTTGAACCCGAGTCTCCAGGAAAAAGCAGAATATTTGATGGAAGAACAGGGGATCCTTTTGAACAACCTGTTATAATAGGAAAGCCTTATATCTTGAAATTAGTTCATTAAGTTGTTGATAAAATACATGGGCGTTCCAGTGGGCGTTATTCACGTCTTACACAACAACCCCTTAAAGGAAGGGCCAAGAAAGGGGGACAACAGGTAGGAGAAATGGAGGTTTGGGCTTTAGAGGGGTTTGGCGTTGCTTATATTTTATAAGAGATGCTTACTTATAAATCTGATCATATTAGAGCGCCCCAGGAAGTACTTGGTACTATAATCTTTGGAGAAAGAATACCGACTCCTGAAGATGCTCCACAATCTTTTCGGTTGTTCCTTCGAGAACTACGATCTTTAGCTCTGGAACTGAATCATTTTCTTGTATCTGAGAAGACTTTCCAGCTTAATAGGAAGGAAGCTTAATCGAAATCAAGCAGAAGTTTTCTTCTATGATCGATCGATATACACATCAACAACTCCGAATTGGATTAGTTTCTCCTCAACAAATAAGTACTTGGTCCAAAAAAATCCTGCCTAATGGCGAGATAGTTGGAGAGGTGACAAAACCTTATACCTTTCATTACAAAACCAATAAACCAGAAAAAGATGGATTATTTTGTGAAAGAATTTTTGGGCCTATCAAAAGTGGAATTTGTGCTTGTGGAAATTATCGAGTAATCGGAGATGAAAAGGAAGACCCGCAATTTTGTGAACAATGCGGAGTCGAGTTTGTTGATTCTCTGATACGAAGATATCAAATGGGCTACATCAAACTCGCATACCCGGTAATTCCTGTGTGGTATTTGAAACGTCTTCCTAGTTATATTATGACTCTTTTAGATAAACCTCTTAACGAATTAGAAGACCTAGTATACTGCGGTGTGTGATTTGATCGAAATTCTGATTTTACAGATTCGAAATGAGAAACTGTCATCCCATTTAATCCAATCGGGATGCCCTGTACCTGACATGTTTCTTGGTAGGAGTAACATGAAGCTCAGAATTAGGGATGTATTCAAGACGCTCCCCAAAAAGGGAATTGATCTATGGTCGATTTCATAAGAATTTATAGTTAGACCTCGTAAAAAAAAGACTTTTTCTTTTGTGGAATTAAGCTATTCCTTTTTTAGAAAGAAATTATGTTTAAGTAAGCAAATAGAAAAGATGTCATGGTTAAAAGAGTCTATCTATCGCATATAGACTTTAAGGGCATCATGGCCTAACCGTCGAGGTGAAGTCGGGACCTAAAAGATCAAATGGAACAGTACAATAGACAAGTAAATTCCTTCTGAATTCTAAGGTACTATCTTTCATTAAGAATTACGGGATTCATCATTCGAGGGGAAGTAGACTACTCAAGAATTTCACATTTCATTTATGTCATAATTGAATAAAGAATTCATAAAATCTAAATAAAAATAATTAAGGAAGACGGAATCCATGAAGTTTTGCTTGGTCTTCACTGGAAACTTGAGTAAGGAGTAGATCTTTTTGGAGTTTTCTAGAATTTGAAAGCGAGAACTCCTTTCTCTTTCTTTTTTTGGTATACCTACTTGAGCCGGATGAAAGGAAACTTTCATGTCCAATTTTGCGGGCGGGGGGGGGGGGGGGGGGGGGGGGGGGATCCTATCCCAATTTTTATTTTGCTAGGCCCATAGATAAAAAACCTACTTTTTTACGATTACGGGGTGTATTAGAATATGAAATTAAACCCTGGAAATACAGGATCCCCATTTTTCTTACTACCCGGAGCTTTGATACATTTCAAAATCGAGAGATGTCTACCGAGGGAGGTTCTATCAGACAACAATTAGCCAATCTAGATTTACGAATTATTATAGACTATTCATTGGTAGAATGGAAAGAATTGGAGGAAGAGGAACCCACAGGGAACGAATGGGAAGATCGAAAAGTTGGAAGAAGAAAAGATTTTTTGCTTAGACGCATGGAATTGGCTAAGCATTTTATTCGAACAAATATAGAACCAAAATGGATGGTTTTGCGTCTATTACCAGTTCTTCCTCCTGAGTTGAGACCAATCTATCATATAGATGACGATAAACTAGTGACCTCGGATATTAATGAAATCTATAGAAGAATTATCTATCGGAATAATACTCTTACAGATCTATTAACAACAAGTATAGCTACGCCAGAAGAATTAATAATATCTTAGGAAAAATTGCTACAAGAAGCCGTGGATGCACTTCTTGATAATGGAATCTACGGACAACCAATGAGGGATGATCATAATAGAGTTTACAAGTCGCTTTCAGATGTAATTGAAGGCAAAGAAGGAAGAGTTTGCGAGACTCTGCTTGGGAAACGGGTCGATTATTCAGGGCGGTCCGTGATTGTCGTGGGCCCTTCACTTTCATTACATCGATGTGGATTGCCTCGCAAAATAGCAATAGAACTTTTCCAGGCATTTGTAATTCGTGACCTAATTAGAAAACATCTTGCTTCGAACATAGTAGTTGCTAAGAGTCAAATTCGAAAAAAAAAACGATTGTATGGGAAATACTTCAGGAAATTCTGGATAACCATCCTGTATTGCTGAATAGAGCGCCTACTCTACATAGATTAGGCATACAAGCATTCTTCCCCGTTTTAGTGGAAGGGCGCGCTATTTGTTTACATCCATTAGTTTGTAAGGGCTTCAATGCAGACTTTGACGGGGATCAAATGGCTGTTCATGTGCCTTTATCTTTGGAGGCTCAAGCAGAGGCGCGTTTACTTATGTTTTCTCATATGAATCTTTTGTCTCCAACTATTGGGGATCCGATTTCGGCACCAACTCAAGATATGCTTAGTGGACTCTATGTCTTAACGAGTGGAAATCGTCGGGGTATTTGTGTAAATAGGTATAATCCATGTAATCGTAGAAACTATCAAAATGAAGATAATAACTATAGGTATACAAAAAAAAAAGAACCCTTTTTTTGTAATCCCTATGATGCAATTGGAGCTTATCGGCAAAAACGAATCAATTTAGGTAGTCCTTTGTGGCTGCGGTGGCGACTAGATCAACGCGTTATTGCTGTAAGAGAAGTTCCCATCGAAATTCACTATGAATCTGTGGGGACCTATTATGAGATTTATGGACACTATCTAATAGTACGAAGTATAAAAAAAGAAATTCTTTATATATATATATATATATATATATTCGAACCACTCTTGGTCATATTTCCCTTTATCGAGAAATAGAAGAAGCCATACAGGGGTTTTGGCAGGGCTGTTGTAATTCTATGCTACCAACGGGAATTCGAGTCTCTCCGGGTTAACTAGGACCATAAGTGCAGAATTTCTATGTGAATCAAGATCTAGAAAAGGAAGTTTTCCAATCACTGACTCAAGCCCATTGTAAAATTCTACTCAGCGCAATATGGAGGTACTGATGGCAGAACGGCCCACTCAGGTCTTTCACAATAGAGTGATAGACGGAACTGCCATGAAACGGCTTATTAGTCGATTTATTGATCACTATGGAATAGGATATACATCACATATCCTAGATCAAGTAAAGACTCTAGGTTTTCGACAAGCTACCGCCGCATCCATTTCATTAGGAATTAATGATCTTTGAACAATACCTTCTAAAAGATGGCTAGTTCAAGACGCTGAACAACAAAGTTTTATTTTGGAAAAACACCATCATTATGGGAATGTACACGCGGTAGAAAAATTACGTCAATCGATCGAAATATGGTATGCCACAAGTGAATATTTGCGACAAGAAATGAATCCTAATTTTCGGATGACCGATCCTTTTAATCCAGTCCATATAATGTATTTTTCGGGAGCCAGAGGAAATGCATCTCAGGTACATGAATTAGTAGGTATGAGAGGATTAATGTCGGATCCTCAAGGGCAAATGATTGATTTACCCATTCAAAGTAATTTACGCGAAGGACTGTCTTTAACAGAATACATTATTTCTTGTTACGGAGCCCGTAAAGGGGTTGTGGATACCGCTATCCAAACATCAGATGCAGGATATCTCACTCGCAGACTTGTTGAAGTAGTTCAACACATTGTTGTACGTCGAACAGATTGTGGCACCGTTCGAGGTATTTCTGTAAGTCCTCGAAATTGAATGATGACGGACATGATTGTTATCCAAACATTAATTGGTCGTGTATTAGCAGATGATATATATATATTGGTTCGCGATGTATTGCTACTAGAAATCAAGATATTGGGGTTGGACTTGTCAGTAGATTCATAACTTTTAGAGCACAACCAATCTCTATTCGAACCCCCTTTACTTGTAGGAGTACATCTTGGATTTGTCAATTATTTTATGGCCGGAGTCCATCTTATGACGACCTGGTCGAATTGGGAGAAGCCGTAGGTATTATTGCAGGTCAATCTATTGGAGAACCGGGCACTCAATTAACATTAAGAACTTTTCATACCGGCGGAGTATTTACAGGGGGTACTGCAGAACATGTGCGAGCCCCTTCTAATGGAAAAATAAAATTCAACGAGGATTTGGTTCATCCGACACGTACACGTCATGGACATCCTGCTTTTCTATGTTCTAGAGACTTGTATGTAACTATTGAGAGTGAAGATATTATACACAATGTGTGTATTCCGCCCAAAAGTTTTCTTTTAGTTCAAAACGATCAATATGTAGAATCAGAACAAGTGATTGCTGAGATTCGCGCGAGAACCTCTACTTTGAATTTGAAAGAGAAGGTTCGAAAACATATTTCTTCTGACTCAGAAGGCGAAATGCACTGGAATACTGATGTGTACCATGCACCTGAATTTACATATGGTAATATTCATCTCTTACCAAAAACAAGTCATTTATGGATATTATTAGGGGAGCCCTGGAGATACAGTCTAGGCCCTTGTTCGATCCACAAGGATCAAGATCAAATGAACGCTTATTCTCTTTCTGTCAAGCCAAGATATATTGCTAACCCCCTCAGTAACTAATAATCAAGTGAGACACAAATTTTTTACTTCGTATTTTTCTGGTAAAAATCAAAAAGGAGATAGGATTCCTGATTATTCAGAACTGAATCGAATGACATGTACGGATCATTGTAATCTCAGATATCCGACAATTCTCAACGGTAATTCTGATTTATTGGCAAAGCGGCAAAGAAATAGATTCATCATCCCACTCGAATCGATTCAAGAAGGCGAGAACCAACTAATACCTTCTTCAGGTATCTCAATGGAAATACCCAGAAATGGTATTCTCCGTAGAAATAGTATTCTTGCTTATTTCGATGATCCTCGATATATAAGAAAGAGCTCGGGACTTACTAAATATGAGACTCGAGAACTAAATTCAATCGTCAACGAAGAGAATTTGATTGAGTATCGAGGAGTCAAGGTATTTTGGCCAAAATACCAAAAGGAAGTAAATCCATTTTTTTTATTCCCGTGGAAGTCCACATTTTGTCCGAATCATCTTCCATAATGGTACGACACAATAGTATTATTGGGGCAGATACACAAATCACTTTCAATAGAAGAAGTCGGGTAGGCGGATTGGTCCGAGTGAAGAAAAAAGAAGAAAAAATGAAACTGATAATCTTTTCTGGAGATATCCATTTTCCTGGAAAGACAAATAAGGCATTCTGATTGATACCGCACACGAGACCCCATCAAGAAAGTTCATTCAACAAATAGCTTCCGCTACAAGAACAGAGGATTGTGTCTGTTGTAAGAGATGTGAATCCGCCTGCCCAACAGATTTCTTGAGTGTTCGAGTTTATTTATGGCAAGAAACAACCCGCAGCATGGGTATAGCTTATTAATACGTTACATAAAACCCTACTTGAGCCCATTTTTTTTTTCACCGCCAAAACCTATGCTCAAAAATATCTTATTTTTCCAAGTATATTAATAAATGAGATTATCGCGGATACAAAACATTCAATTAACAAAACGGATTTTTCCAATGTATAAACTAAAAATTCCAACGGCTTTGGCTACTATAACCTTCCCAACCATGAGTTTTTCTTTTTTATAGGCGTTTCGCCTCGAAATACGAAATTGTACTAGACTAGGTATTAAAAATAAATAAAAAAATAGCAATGATAAAGAAATAGTGGATTCCGTTGTTTCTATGGTTACTTCTTAAACTGTGAGGTCTTCTCTATACACCGGAGCCTTTACTTCATTTAATCAATGTTATTGCTAACTTGTATAGTTCACATTCTTCGGCTCTACCCATGAATTATCCAGTAATAGGTCTTTCACAACGAGCTCTACCTATACAGTAACGATATTTAATTATGAGGGTTGGCCGGGCAGCTGACCCTGTTAGTCCGTTCTTGCAAGAGGGGTCTATATTAACTAAGATTTCCTCCGCTTAATGGATAACCATTTGCTACCAATGGAGAATTGCTTCTCATCTTGAATTGAGGTGAGTGGATTTACACCAATAGAAACCATAAATTTCATACACAATAAAAGGGATATGCTCCATTTTCTTATTTTTAGATAGGAAATGTAGTTCGTTTTCCGTTCTATCCGATTTGATCATTGATATTCGAATATACTTCTCTTTCCTTTGTTCTAGTTCATGATCTGAACGAGTCGCACATACACCCTAGTACATGTTCCTCGACGCTGAGGGCATCCCCGAAGCGCGGGGGATTTTGTGACATTTCTAATTGGCTGTCTTGTATTTCTAATAAGTTGTTTAATCGTTGGCATGTTGAATCATATACATAATGGACTGGTTTAGATCGATCCTAACCACATGATTATGAATTCCTTTTATTGAATAGAATAATATATTAATATGAAACTCGGCAGGGGTAATTTCAAATCACGAATTGATGCGAAATCCAGGCTATGCTATTGTCATTCAACCGCTACAAGATCAACAATTCCATAAGCTTCGGCCTCTGTTGCTGACATAAAAACATCTCTTTCCATGTCTTCGGAGACAACCCATAGGGGTTTGCCCGTTCTTTGTACATAAACCCGTGTCAGGGTTTCACGTAGTTTCAGCAGTTCTCTCACTTCCAGGATGAATTCTTCGGTTGCTACTTCAGAAAAAGAACCAGCAGGTTGATGGATCATTACCCTGATGATATAAGAAAATAAAAGGTTTCTTTATTTCGCATGATAAAGGGAAGATAAAACAAAGATAAAATAATAACAAGAAAAAAAGATAGAATCGAACAACCGTACGGGCATTATGCATTGCATACGGCTCTACAATAAAATTGACCCTTACCTTACATCAAATAAAGAAAAAATAGGATCGATCAGACCCCGATCAGTAAATGATCAACTTACCACGCTTCCTTTCGGAGGAATTCAAAAATACTATGATGGCTCCGTTGCTTTATATTTTTATTTTATTATATTTTTTTGTCTGTGATTTGTCTGTGATTAAGCAATCCCAAAGTTGCTTTTTTATTTGATCAAATAAACTAAGGAAAAAAGAATCTTGTTTTTTTTTTGCTCTATAAATATTGTTAAGAGACCTCTGGTGTGAAAAAAAGTTTGTGACGCTGAACTGGACTTCCGATAAGAAAATCGGAAATACGTTTTTCTCATATTACTCTCTCGATACATAATCTAATGTTTTGAAAACAAAATTTCTTATATCGAATTCAAAGTGCCATGCTATTATTACTTAATATTCATATTTCATATGGCGAAGGCATAGTCTTCTTTTTTCTCTCAAATAAAAGCCTCATTGGCGCCAAGCTTGAGGGAATGCTATACGTTTGGTAATTTCTCCTCCGACCAGGATAAAAGATCCCATTGAAGCGGTTGATCCCATGCATATTGTATGTACATCTGGTTGCACAAATTGCATAGTATCATAAAGAGCCACCCCCGGTATTACCCATTCGCCAGGAGAGTTTATAAACAAATACAGATCTTTGGTATCATCCTCGATACTGAGATATATCATAAGACCAATAAGTTGATTCGAGATCTCGCTATCAACCTCTTGACCTAAAAAAAGTAATCTTTCTCGATAAAGTCGGTTGATTAGGGTCAAATCCCTTCGGAACCGTACAGGCGTCTTTTGATGCATACGGTTCAAAAAAAAAGAATCAATGTGTAGATTCCAATACTTTTTACTTTTTCATAGCAAGTTCCTTCTAACTTATAAAAAAGGATTTTCTTTTATTTTTCACTAAACACGAGTTTGTCTTCCTTTCCTTATTAACGTATAATATCAAAACACAATTCATTAAACTTATCCAATTAACTTCTC